GCCCTGACTGCCCCCCCCCCCTCCACTGGGGATTGAGCCCCCAACCTGGGCATGTGCCCTGATCAGGAATTAAACCGTAACCTCCTGGTTCATAGATCGACGCTCAACCACTGAGCCACACCGGCCGGGCTCATTTATTACATCTGTGGCTTACCTACGGGAGCCAACGCGAGCCTCAGTGACCCCGGGAAAAGCCACATGCACATGTCAGAGCATAAAGAAGTGGTTCTCAAAGCGCAGGGCCACGGAGCAGGGGGTGATGCCACCCACTCCCCGGAAAGGGCGACGGAGAAAGTCTGCTGGTCCCTGACTGATTCCCGCCTGACTGATGGAGCGAGCTCACTCTGCCAGGAAGGCACGTCCCTGCCCCTTCTCGGCCTCTTGTTCCCTGGTGCTGCCACCAGGACCTGTCCTTCAGCCCGACCGCAAGGCCCGCCCCCCTGTCCGCGGCGACGGGTGGACGACAGCTGACGCCCCTGGTGCCCGAGGTCGGGAGATGCTGGCGTTAGTTACCCTGGTCGAAGCCGCCGCGTCTGTAATGGTCCAGCGCCAGCTCCTCCACGGAGCACAGGACGGTGGCAAGGGCGGCGGGCCCCCCGGCCTCCAGCACAAACACGGACTTGCCCATCCCGAGCTGCGGGCACAGCCGGCCCGTGATGGTCACCTGAGACGGCGACAGGAGGACGGCCGTGAGCCTCACTGCAGCTGTAGGGGGCAAACCTGGGGACCCCCAGGCCCACACGCCCCCCAGCCACCCATTCTGAGGCCGGGTCACTGCCTCGGCCCCGGGGGAGATGCGGGCCCCAGAGCGGCTCTCTCGGCGCCCTGACCAAGAAGGCGACACCGGCAAAGGCTGTGAGCTGCTGGCCCCGGAGATTTCCAGAAAGTCGCTCAACCCAGGGCCTGAGCAAGCCCGCCAGCCCGCTGGGCCCGAGGCAGGAGGACGGGTGAGGATGGAGCGGTGGCCACGCCCCGTCCACAGTGCGCACCAGTCTCCTAAGTCTACGAGACAGTGACAGCCGAACGGTTCCTGGCTGCCTTCCCTCGGAGGACCCCACCGGACGGGACTCACATGCTTCACGTCCTGCACGGCGACTTCTGGCAGCTGCTGGAGGAGGTGCCGGTACCTCCGGCAGCTGGGCGACGCCCTCAGGCGCACGGCTCTCTGGTACAGCGACAGGCGATGCCCCGTCCTCACCTCGGGGTCCGCCAGCCCTTCTGCGATGCACTTGATAGCCTAGAGAGAATGGGGTCCCGGGAGGGGACGGGGGGAGCTGTCAACACGTGGATCTTGGTTACCATGAAAGCAGCAACAGCCTCAGCACGGCCTCTCCCCCCGGGGCCTGGGGGCCGGCAGGTGCCTTCTGCCGCTATCTCGGCCGAATGACCACCGAGAGGTACGGAAGCACCGCGCCCTCCTCCCCAGAGAAAACAGCTTCCCGGCCCCACACTCGGCCACAGGCGCCCCTCCAGTCGGAGGCCGTGAAAACACTCCGTCCCATGTCCACGCCCAGGGTCAGTCTTTCCACCCGAAGTCGCCCTGACTCACTGCATGTGCTGCCGGGAAAAGCGAGCGCTCCCAGGGCACAGCCCTCCATTCACGGCCCAGGCGAGGCTGGCATGGAGGCGGGCGGGGCGCGGGCGGCCACACAAAGGGCCACTGTTGCCACCGGGCAGGGGCGCAGCTGCTTGGCCACAGAAGGTCCTTGCACTTCCAAGATCCCGGCCACAGAGAACACCAGCGCCCGGAAGGGAAGGTGGCCTGCTGGGGGCAAAGCCCGGGCTTCCCAGAGGGAGTCACTCAGGAAGGGCTTGCACTAGACTTCCAGCTCCCGGAGGCCCCAGGCCCCAGGGAACAAGCCCCGTTTCCACAGCAGAAAGCGCCTGCTGAGGGCGGAGGCGTCCGGTGCTCCTAGCCCCTGACCCCTGACCCCTGCTTAATCCTAAATCCCAGGTCCCACCGCCAGCCCCGCTCCCTTCATTGTTCCAGCGGGAGTCCCTCAGGAAGGGCTTTCACTAGACTTCCAGCTCCCGGAGGCCCCAGGCAGCAGGGAACAAGCCCTGTTTCCACAGCAGAAAGCGCCTGCTGAGGGCAGAGGCGTCTGGTGCTCCTGGCCCCTGACCCCTGACCCCTGCTTAATCCTAAACCCAGCACAGGTCCCACCGCCAGCCCCGCTCCCTTCATTGTCATGCTTGGGTTAGCGACCTTGTTTTGTTTCGTGTTGGGAAAGCACAGACAAAAGGTCTAAAAAATGAATGTCCAGAGGCGGGGGCGGTCTAGAAGGGGTCAGTGGAAAAGGGGGGACATAGGCAATACTTTCAACAGTAAAGATTTTTTTTAAAAAAAGACTTGCCTGGCTGGTGTGGCTCAGTGGTTGAGCACTGACCCATGAACCAGGAGGTCAGGGCACATGGCCAGGTTGCAGGCTCGATCCCCAGTGTGGGGCGTGCAGGAGGCAGCCGATCAGTGATTCTCTCTCATCAGTGATGCTTCTGTAGCTCTCTCTCCCTCTCCCTCCCTCTCTGACATCCATAAAAACGTATTTTAAAACACGAATGTCCTGATGACATTCGGTTCTTAAGGCGTTAGCTGTGGGCTGTCCTGCCTAGGGGCTGAGTACCGGTTCGAGGCGTTTCAAGTGCTGGTGGAGGTTGAGAGCCAGCCGGTCCCACCACCGGCCTCTGCTGTCGGGACAATAGACTTTCTGGGACAAAAGGGCCTCCAGTTCCTGGACGGCTTCCTGTGGCGACAACAAAGGAAGCTCATTAGACGCGCGCCCACCAAACTGCACACACAAGGTGGGCAGCGCCTGTGCACAGAGCCTTGGAAACAACGGACTCCCGTCAGAAACATGCGCCAGCCCCACACACGCACAAGTGTGGGGTCCACAGACTCCCCGGGCCCCTGCCACCGATCCTCTGGGGACCCAGCTTGGCATAAGCTCTGAGAAACGCCATTTTCTCAATACAGGATGCCCAACGTAACCGAGGTCACCTCGAGCCATCGCCCGCGGCTCGGTGTAACGAGGGACACGACCGCGTTTCAGATTTGTGACTCTTATTTCCAGACGGCCCCTGACAGCTGCCCGGGAGACACAGCAGATGTGGGGGCTCCCCTCCGAGCTGGATGGAGGCCTCCCCGGTGACCCTCAGGCCGGACGGGGGCACACTCATCAACTCCAACACGGCTGGCCCCCAGCCACGCTCCCCCCGACCCAGGAGCCCGCGGGCCGCCCACACGTCCCCAGAAGCCGGACGGAAACCGTGTTCTCACCTCGTACAGGTGCAGCCGCTGCAGGACCTCCACGGCCCGGGACAGGATCCTGGTGTACACCCACCCGACGGTGAAGCAGCGCAGGAAGGGCGGCAGGTCCGCGTGGTGCCTGTGGGGGACGTGTGCACGCAGCCCGGTCACCGGGCCGCTGGCCGGGGGACGGGCATGAGCTTACACGGTGGACGGAAGGCGTCGCTCTTGGGAAAAGGTCTGTCCTCAATACCGTGGCCTGTGTGCGATGCCTGGCTCTCCAGCTCCATCCCCAGGAGGGGCGAGCAGAGGGCAGGCGGGCAACGTGCCGCTCTCACACCGACGTTTCGCCCTCTCCCTCTCCCTTCCTCGCTCTCTAAAATAAGTAATAAAAAAATGAGAATAAAGGATCGTGTGCTGTGGCCTTGACATTTGGAAGTAAATGTTCAGTGTTTTTTTTATTAAATATATATATTGATTGACTTCAGAGAGGAAGGGAGAGGGAGTTAGAAACATCAATGAGAGAGAATCATGGATCGGCTGCCTCCTGCACGCCCCACACTGGGGATGGAACGCGTAACCCGGGCCTGTGCCCTGACCGGGAATCAAACCGTGACCTCCTGGTTCATAGGTTGATGCTCAACCCCTGAGCCACACCAGCTGGCCGGGCCGACTCAGTTTTCTTTTTCGGAACAACGCCTATGTTTGAGTTTCCATTGAGAGAACAGGTCTGGCACGTGGGCTTCCCACAACATCTGTCTGCAGCTGGGTTCCCCGCACACTGAGTTCAGCTGAGCAATACCTGGGGAAGCCGGCACCCCAGGGACGGCCACCGACAGCCGCCCCCCCCGCGTGCTCACGTGAACGTGTGTTGCACAGGGATCTGAATCAGATGAAACCCCCGACCTCAGCCCTTTCCTCCCGTCTCACACAGCCCTCTGACCCTGTGCAGAGCAGCTAGGAAGGCCGCCGCCCAGCCGGTCCGACCCCAGAGCCCAGGCAGAAGGTTCCTCGTGGAGAGCACGGCCCCACGTGGCGGGAACGGC